TGGTATACCATGTCGTAATTGTGCTTTCTGTGTTATTTGGAGCAGGAGCAGCTTGCGGGACAGCAGACTTTATGGGTGAGTCTTAACAATACGTATTCCTCATGTTTAATGTGGTGGCTTTGTTACGATACTTATATCAAACTTACATAAAACTTATCTCTATACTGCATGACAATCTAATTATTACCAAAGACACCACTAGTCGCCTTTAAAGAAAGGATTATTTTTTAGCAATCGCAGCTGCTTTCTCTCTCTTCTCGTTTTGAACTTATTTTTTTTGTTTCCTTCAATGTTCGAAGCAATTTCGTCCCTACGTGTTGAGCTCTTTGAAGAGAAGTCCAGCGTTTCGATTCGAAAAACGTGAACGCGTAAAAAATAATCCTGTCCCTGCCTATTTAAGTAACTACTATACAAACTTCTCGGTTATAACGCGCCTGGCATGTTGATACGTCTTTACTTACCTTATCAGCTGCTGATTTGCGAGTCGCCGTCTCATGCGCTACTATCTATTTACCAGTTAAGCTGAACCTAATCTAAATCGCGCAAAAGAGGACATGTCCGTCCTCATACATAGTTGCATGAATGACTCGTTACTCGAAAGACCGTACTGTTTCTTTTGGTTTTTTCGTTTGCGGCGATACATTTCACAGTTTCTATATACAATAGTTTCCTCAGGGCTATTATGTCGATCGACATCGATCGATGGCTTTTTAGCGATTTCGCCCACGTAACAGCCCCGATCTCTTCAACTACTCGATCTGCCCCTAACCTTGGAGCCTTATGTTTTACAGCATGCTCCTATTTTCTCTTTCTTTTCTCTGTTCTTCCCTTTCTTTTTTCTTTTTTCTTTCTTTCTTTCTTTTTCGTTGTCTTTTCTAGTCTATCGTTTAACCCCTGATCGATGTTCGATGAACAGAAAATACAGTCTTGGACTTAACCTTCATGTCGATGATAGATGGCACGAGTTTATGGCGCTGTACTACTTTATGCGACTGCATGTTAGTGCTTACGTTTTTACTGTTTGGCGTACGAAACTTGTTTCTGAGTTGTATACAAAGTGGATAGATACTTACTTACTTTGTTCGATAGGCGAACGCAGCAAGAGCCGCTTTTGCATTTAACTCTTCTGTCGCTGTTCGCATTAATGAAATAGACCAAAAAAATGAGCGAAAGAAAGAAACGAAGTAGAAGAGAAATTGATCGGGACAAAGAACAGAAAGGGAAAAAAAGTAACGATCAATGGAACGTGGAATTCTTTGTCCACGGGTTCTTGATTGATTAGTGCAACTCTTGATAAACTCGCAAGCTACTTACGCATACCGTATGTTTCGTTATCGTTTCCGTTTACCATTCCTCACTTTTCGTTTTTTCATTTCTCTGGTTTCGTTCCGTTTCCGGTTTCGTTGTTGACCGAAGGTTTTGCCGAAACATTCGATGAATCGTTTTCATCAGCTTTTCGTAAGAATGAATTCCGAACCGATGATCGATCTATTCCATTACTTATGATTTAGCGGAGTTTTTCATTGAATTTGCTCGTTTGCGACGGTCACTGACATTCTAGCTACTGTAAACGACATAGAATTAGCGTTGATACATAGCTATTTTCTCCTCTTGTCGTTATGATTATCGAATGAGAGCTACCAATTAACGATTTACGACTGTGTATGTGTTCGAACCGACTTTTACGTACTCATTGAACGCATTTGTATGATAATTAATATGTTATTTATATAATCGTTCGTATTTTTAAATCGCTTAGGGGGGTTCGCAGTATGATTAATATAACTATTTACAATGTGGTTAATACTGTATTACTCTATGATTATACATCGATTCCATTTTTTCATTTATTCGAAGCAAATTTTGGCTGGTGCGTAAATCACGACGGGATAAAAGGGTGGACGATTTTTCGTTGAATAAAAACTAAATTAGTATGAATTGCATTTTTTCGAAAGAGATTTCGTTCTCGGGAAAATATATTTTTATGATGTAGAAGTGATATATTAAACTTTAATCTGCAATGATTTGTAACTAAGCGATCTCTGTAGAGTTTCTTACACCAAATACAAATCCAAAAGTAGAATCATTCTATCACCATTTCGAGAAAGTTAACTTTGAAGAAGTTAGAATTAGACAAATTACTTGTGCATCGATTGAATGAATTGTAGAAACGTTTTATCGCAAAAAACTGTCTAACAGTCTTCCTTAAACAAAACGATGCGTATCGTACTCTACATTATTCATGCACCGATCTCATCGAATATTAATGAAGAAACCATTTAACTCAGTCCGCGTTTATTACATCGAACCTGAACGAGTGTTCCTCTAAAATCCAAAAAGAACAAGTAAATACGTAGTTGGGAATTTTGTTGACAGACCTTTTTATTCTCGGCGTAGGATGTTTTGTGTCACGTTTTTCTTAGAGTTAATAGCTTCTTACTTGTTCGTAAAGTTTACGCAAATCTAGGATTTCTCTCAAATAAAAAAAATTAATTAAAAAACGACCGAAAAACGTTTCGAGGCTCGATGAGCATGTAACATTATTATATTGCAGGGAAGAGGAGCTCGCCACTAACTCTAGCAAGGAGACCGTCCTATCTGACGCCACCACTGCCAACCATACCCACGCTACTGACAAACCATAAAAACTATAATAGCTTCTGAACGATTTTAATCAATCCTAGTGTCGAATAATCAATTCGCTGAGATGAGAGAGCAAAGATAATGGGGGAAAGAAAGAGAGAGAGGGAGGGAGAGAAAGAGAGGGAGAGAGAGAGAGAGAGAGAAAAAAAGAGAAAAAAGAAACTATAACTATAGAGTTCTCGTATCCAGTCAATCTAATCGAAAATAATTGTTATCGGCAACGATATTAGCGTTACACGTAGCGGAGAAACAATTCTAAGGATAAAATTGTAATCGATGATTACGCATTTACGATTCAATTTTTAGGACACTCGTTAACTAGTATTATCATATTAACCGACGAATATTTCGGCATCACCGATGAACATATGTTCATATAATATATATATACATATCTAAACACGGACACAATATCTATATATATATTATATCTTGTATAATAAATCTGTTTGTTTATTTAATTACCGATTTCAGTTCACTTCCACCGATTCACACGTCCCACACGCAAATTTTCGTTTGTTATTTCCTTCCTTTTCTTTTTTCTTTTAATTTTTATTCTAGTTTCTCGTTTCGTTTCGATTACAAGTTCTTGACCCCATACTTGATTCACCTTGCAGGAGTATAAGTTGTTTAGGTGTGTACTCCAGCCGAAGATCGGGAATTATACGCGCACCGTGACTTTCTTTTCTCGTTCCGACTTTCGAAGACGTGTCGACGGACTCTCGTGTTGCGGGACGAGTTCTCGATGGGAACGGGGATACCAGAGTTCAATGTTTAACGATATTGAACGATAAGTATCACTCATGTCTCAATGTCTACTACACAGGCCAGTGAACCACTGTAATCCAACAAGACTAGAAACTGTGAAATGAATTATCATTTCTTCCTGAGAATGATATCTGCGTACAGGTTGTCG